AAAACTAGGTTGATTTGGGTATATATTTCACCTCAAGACAATTCTGAAGGACTAGTCTAGTTCAGATCTCCACATAGAGTTGTTCAAGGCCTTTGTTGCTACTAGACAGTAGCCCAATTTCTCCTTCTGCTCTTCCTTCCTTAGGTGATGATCCTGAGAGCACAAATGGATAGAGAAGCTGTGGTATATTCACACAATGGAATACTATGCTGCATTGAAAAACAAGGAACTCATGCAATATTATTCAAAATGGGTGACTCTGAAGGACATTATGCTGAGTGAAGTATCTCAGTCACAAAAAAGACAAATACTGCATGGTGCCACTGTTGTAAAACAGGTCTGACCTTGGGGTCGGGGAGAGACTGAGAAAGATGGGTTCAATAATGTATACTGCATTGAAACAGGGGAAAAAACCATTTAAAGGGGATATGTGATTAGGTATTTTTGTCATGACAGGAGTTTAGAGTGAAGGCTACATGGTGGAGTGGCCCTGGGGAGGGTTTGTAAAACAATAAAAGAATATGTCTTTTACTTTTCCAAGAGGGTAGTGTACTGGGGGGGGGGGAATTGGGAGGGGAGAAAAGTACAACAATGAATGAATAGAAATCTAAAGTCTCTGTAAATTTTTACTGACATTAATAATAAATTTAAATAAAAAACAGAAACCCAAAAGCAAAAACAAAACACCCCTATTATTAATCTCCACCTCAGCGTCTGTTTTCTGAGGAATGAAGGAAACTTACAAAACTGTGTCTTTATACAGTAATTAAGCCTTTCTTGTTGAACTGAAGCCACTGGTAAAAAAAAATGCCCTAGGGATTAATGGATTAACAATTGAAATGTTTCAACAAACAGATGCTTCCCTGGACGTGCTCACTAATCTATTCCAAGAAATCTGGAAGAAGACAGTTAACTGGCCAACTGATTGGAAGAAATCCATATTTGTTCCCATTCCAAAAAAATGGTGATTTTAAAAAAATGCTTCAGATAAATGCTTCAAGACTTCATTTTCTACAAGCAAGGTTGTGTTGTCTGCAGATTATTGATGAGTATTCTTTCAATTCTGATGCTACAGTCTTCTTTATGTAATCTAATTTCCAAATGCTTTGCTCAGCATACAGAATTAATAGATATGGAGAAAAGATACAGCTGTGATTTACATCTTTCCAGATTTTAAACTATGCAGTGTTCTCTTGCTCCAGAGAGCTCCTTCTTGGTCTACATATAGGTTTCATACTAAGTGTTCTAAGATTCCCATTTTTCTGTTAGTCATAATTTGTTTTGATCCACAATCTCATTCAGTTGGCTATGTTTCTTATATAGGAGCTAAAACTGTTTGTGGATCTTGATTTGATTGTTAAAAGGCTTAAACACATTTACACCAACTTGTGTATGTTGAGATTTCTTTGAAGAGAATATTCAGTATTCAGAAAAAAGTTCTGATATACGTAGTATATGTATATCGTAACATGGTAAATCAAAACTACATTTGTTTGTTTGAAAACAAACAAGTAATTATGTCTTTGTTGTTGTTTTTATGTTCCATTGAGTTACTTGCAATCCTATGCACAATAGTTCTGAACCCTGAGCCAGTCTCACTGTCTCCGTGTCAATTCATCTTATCCAGGGTCTTCCTCTACCCTTGTTGTCTCTCCACCCTTACAAATATAATGTCCTTCACAAAGACCAGTCCCTCCAGGCAACACACCCAAAGTATGTGAGACAGAGCTTCAAGATTCTTGACTCCAGGGAGCAACTTGGTTTCACCTTCTCCAGACCACTTTGTTTTTTTTGCAGTCCATACAGCATGTTTAATACCCTTCTCCAGCACCACAACTCAAAGGCATCAATGCTTCTTTCACTCGTAGTCATTGTCCAGCTCTTTGATGCATAGCAGATAATTACAAAGACCATGCCCTGAATCAGGTACACCTTAATCTCCAGACTGACATCTTTGTTTTTCAGCACTTAGGAAAGATATGTGACAGTAAATTTACCCAAAAATTTAGTCTTTTGATTTCCTGACTTCTGGTCCCAAGAGTGTTGATTGGGGAACTGAGAAAGTAGAAACTGTTAACAATCTCCATTTTTCATGATGCTGCTGATTAGTCCAGTGGTGAGAATCTTTTATTTTCTTGACATTGAGTTTCAGTTCTTATTTAATTCAATCCAAGCAAAATTCCTATGATTCAACCTCACTTGCCACTCCATAATAGATGTTAACTCTTGCACTTTAATTATATTATCTACATAGTTATATTATTACATTTATGCTTATGCTTGATAGTCTAAAATTAGCAAGCTCTGAAATAGAGGAATTGACTTTTAAAAAAATAAAATTGTCAGATACTCTGCTGTAGAAGGAAGGACAATCTCCTCCTGTACCAGTCAGATCTGATTTGATGGTACACACAAGCAAAATAATAAAATTAAATTTTTTTTAAAAAAATTGTATTTACACAGTTACAGATCTACAGAAAAACTAGGAAGCTAGTTGCTGTATATCCTACTCCCAATCCATTATATTATTATCCTACATTACTACATTTACTTCAATCAATGAATCAATGCTAATACATTATTATTAACAAAAGTTAATATTTTATTCCAATTCTCTTAGTTTTTATTTAATTTTTTTCTGTCCCAGGATAGCATCGAAGATACTACATTATATTTAATAAAATCTACTTGACTTCTTTTGGCTGTGAAAGTTCAGATTTCCATTGTTTGAATGACCTTGACAGTTTTCAGCAGCACTGGTCAGATATTTTATAAAATATTCTTCAACTGGAATTTGTGGTTTTATTGTTGTGTATCATTTCCGCAAGCAATGCCTTATCATCTGCATTTCATAAGTTGCTGATCAGTCAGTCCTTCTCCAATCTTGATGTCATATGCTTTTCATATAGTCCAGCTTCTCAAATTAATTGTGAAGCACAAACCCACATATATACCACTATTCACCTGTTATTTTGCTATACTGTGGTGACCGGCTTCTTGCTGTGAGGCTGGAAGCTAAACTACTGGTATTTAAAAGACAAGTAGGGTCACCTATGGTGAACAGGTTTCACCAGAGCTTACAAATTAAGACATACCAAGGAACAGGATTGGTCATTCACACCTGCAATAACAGGACCTTGGAAATCCTATGTATAGCAGTGGGACATTATTCCTTATAATGCCTGAAGATGAGCTAGAGCTTTGTGTTGAAATGCACTCAGAATGTGACTGGGGAAAAATCTGCCCCCTCAAAGTAGGGTTTACCTTGGTGAAGGCGATGGAGTAAAACCTTTCACCCAATGAAAGACTCTCATTTGCTGACACGGTAAGACTTATAATGAGGAGGAACAGATACAAACATCAATTAATAATTGCAACACGGAATGGATAAAGCATGAATCTAGGAAAATTGAAAGTTGTGAAAAACGAAATGGAACCCAAAAAGCTTTTTCAGAAACTATGTGGTTTTGCCCTAATGTCAAAGTCAGCTTGTAATCTGAAAGTTGTGGAGATTATTAGAATTTATGAAGTCAGAAGCATAACACCAGATTCTTGTATATATTAAAAATTTTGGCAATATTTATTTTTCTGTATAGTGTAGGTGAGAGGGGGGGAAAATCCATTCTATGAAAGTGTAAGTGATTCTCCCAGGTTACTTTAGGATCATAAGGCAAGTAACTTTATTTTTAAATGGACAGAAAGCTTAATTAATTCCTAAAGATCAGAATCTTTCTGTCTCAAAATCCTATCACTTTGGATTAAATGAAAAAATCTATTGTTGCTGTTCTTTAGGTTTTCCAAGGAGTTCCACTGTAGTCCACAGCATGCTGCCCTGACCAAAAGGTCAAGGCAGTTAGAATCCATCAGATACTTTTTGAAAACGATGAGCAGTCTCTCTCTATGAATCTACTCAATGGCAGTAAGTTTTTACTTAAGAGTTGATGAGTCAGAATCAACTAGAACTCAGTGGTTTGTTGTAGTTTTTGGTTTGTTTGTTTTTATTAATAACCTATAATATGTATGCTGTCCGTAACAGTACTGTTAATCATTTATTGAGGGCAGTTTCTAGATTTTCTATTTGGAATCCTAGCGCTCAAGATTAAAGCAGTATTTTATTTAAGAACTGGCGTTTAACCTAAACGCTCTACTCTCCATTCCTGGAAGCGATAACCCTGTATATCAGGCTGTAATCATCCTTTTCAGTAACAATGCTTAGTTCGTCCTGCTTTTTTGAGCACTCCTATATAGTGGTCTCCTTCCACACCCCATTCTTCCACTGTCCATTGTTAGCAGAAACGAGAAAACCTTCAACCGAGGCAAGTACAAAACCTTTGTAGTCATCTTTTCTGACCTCAGGTCTCCTACAGAGTGCTCGCAGCCCCCAAATGGCTTTCAAATACAAAACCCTCGCGAAGAAGAGAGCAAAGGAGAAGGTCCCTAAACCTCGGAAAAAGGGACGACAGAAGGTGACTTCGAAAAGACTCCCAGGTATCAGTGCCATACACTAACAGCAAAAGGTACCCAACATCCTCCCCAGCAGAAAAAGACATCGCGAGACAAAGATGAACGAGGAGAAAGACCCCTTTCTCGCGAGAGAAGGGGGCGTCGGCGGAAACTAGGAAATGGCCCCCTGGGCGATGGAGACCCAGTCAGTGGGCGGAGTCAGTCGTGAATCCGCCCCCTTCCGGCTGTTTTCCCCGCCTCCGTCTGAGGTGAGGATCCGCGGTTTTGTAGCAGGGTTTTCTTGGTTCCACCCAGCTGGTGCAAGGTCGGGTTCAAAACCTCCAGAACGCGCTTTGTCCTGATTTGTGGAGGGGGGCGGGGAGGGGCCTGCGGCTTGCGGCCCCGCCCCCTTCTCCGGTTCGCCGCGAGCGAATCAGGCATCCTCTTCCTTCGGCCGGCCTCGGGGCCGCGTCGCCCAGGCTCCTCAGCAGGGGAGGCCTGAGCTTCATCCCGCAGGTGTCGGCGGCGAGGCCCCGGGCACAGACCGGTTCGGCCGTATGGTGGGGTTCGGGGCCAACCGGCGGGCTGGCCGCCTGCCCTCCCTCGTGCTGGTGGTGCTCCTGGTAGTGATCGCCATCCTTGCCTTCAACTACTGGAGCATCTCCTCCCGCCACGTCCTGCTACAGGAGGAGGTGGCCGAGCTTCAGGGCCAGGTCCAGCGCACCGAGGTGGCCCGTGGACGCCTTGAGAAGCGCAATTCGGACCTTCTGCTCTTGGTGGACTCTCACAAGAAACAGATTGACCAGAAGGAGGCCGACTACGGCCGCCTTAGTAGCCGGTTACAGGCCAGGGAAGGCCTGGGGAAGAGATGCGAGGATGACAAGGTAAAGTTGAGTCCTTTTCCCTTCAATCCCAGTTAACCCGCTGGTAAGAAGTATCGGAGGTTGTGCGGGGTTTAGCCCACCAGCGCGCCGCCTTGTCTCTTTCTGGATTGCAGTAAGGATCCGATCAGACTTTTCTCATTTCATTCCTTTATTCACCAGTTCTTGCCAGACGAAACTGGCTCTAAATTCTGGTTCTCAGGAGTGGACTGTGTGTGGTGCCGCCTTTTCTCTACGATCAGCTGCTGAGCTGGCAGTAGTAATCTCTGGCCTATGGGGCCGCGTTATGTTCACAAACACAGGAATCTAGAGACTGCTTAGGCTTGCTGTGGGTGTTGTGACCTCTTCTTGCTTTCCTGCAAACGTGATCAATATTAATTTCGTGATCAATATTGCTTTCCTTACTTAAAGAATCTTCTTTATGGTGGTCACGCTATTTTTTAAGCAATATAGCATTTTAAAAATCTCTATAAGGTCATAGTACTGTGTTTTGTCCAGTCGGAACCTACCGAAAGCAGACCCTCCAGCTGGTTTTCAGAAGCTGTAAATCTCCTTTTTCTCCCGCCAAGCAACTGGTGGATTTGAACTGGTTGCCTTTGGGATTACATCTTACTGTCTTAGTACTAGACCACCAGAGCTCCCTATAACGTTATGTGTTAAGTAATTAAAGAACCAGATATTACCGCCTTTTAGTAATCGAAATGTTATGATAGTGGGTCCTGGAGCCACTGATGGCCCATACTTATGAGTTACTGGACATAGTCAACCTCTAAGTATATACTCAATTTGAATTGTTAATTAGCTAAATAAGTAGTGTCTAAAAATGTTGCCTAAGAAACAGAATGTTATTCAGTGCTTTTATTGTTCTTGAAAAAGAAAACTTAATTATATATGGTTAAGTAACTATTGGGTTTAACATTTTATGCAGAGGAAAAGCCATACACAGTTTTAAATTTAAAAAGTTGAAAGTTGGGGGGGTGATCAGACCTGCTTAGTAAATAGTCCTTATTCCCACTTGTATCTTTGGAGATAAATAATAGTTTATGACTTTACAACTTCTCTTAGCATAACTGAGTTATAAAAATTTCTAGGGTGGAAGAGTAGATGTCCCTCTTTGGCAATTATTATAATGGGGTTTTTTTTGTGTTAATATTTACAATTTTTTAGATTCCCTATTATGTTATAATTCATATTAAATCTTTGTAAATGACAATTTTCATGAGCTTCCAACTTCCGTATTGTCACTCTTTACTTTGCATCTCATTATGTCAAGAATGAGGTCCTGAGATAGGTGCTTCCCAATATATAACAGCCCTTCTTTAAACTACAACACAATCATTCCCCAAGAAAGAAGGACAAGGAATCAGCAAATACGTACACACTAGATTCTGAAGACTGCACAACTATATGTAGCAAAAATCCATGAAATCTTGAAATATTAAAATGAGATCTTCATAGTTGATGGTTTGAATGCACCAAAACGCCCTGCAGAAGAAAGATGTGGCGGTCTTCCTTTAAAGATTGTTGTTATATGGCTTCAAGTCACTGTGACTCATAGTGACCTAAGGACAAGAGCCTTAAACCCTGCCCTGTGCCAACCTCACTGTCTCTGACACACATACTCCCATTACCCCAATCACTGAATCGATCCCTCTCATTAAGGATCTTCCTTTCTTGCGCTTTCCCTCCAACCTCCAAAACATGATGTCTCTCTCCAAGGACTGGTCCATCCTTGCAACATGCCCAAAGTATGTCAGACGAAGCTTCAGAATCTTTGCCTCCAAGGAGCAGCCTGGTTTCACCCTCTCTAAGACAAACCTGTTTGTTCTCCTAGAAGTCCGTGATATGTTCAACACTGTTCTCCAGCACCACAGTTCAAAGGTATCAATTTTCTTTCTCTCATCCCTAGGCATTTTTCTGCTCTCTGATGCATAGCACACAATTGCAAAGACAATGGCCCAGATCAGGTGCACCTTACTCTCCAGCCTGACGTCATTGCTTTTCAGTACCCTGGAGAGGTCCCTGACAGCTGACTTCACAATGCAATTCGTCTCTTGATTTCCTGGCTGCTGGTACCAAGAGTATTGATTGTGGAGCCAAGCAAACCAACACTGTTAACAATCTCAATCTTTTTTTTTTCCTTCTCACTGATTGATTTCTTTTTAGTATCAACACAAGTTCAACAATCTCAATCTTTTCACCATCCATTCTTGTGCTGCCTATTGACCCAGTGGTGAGAATCTTTTCTTGATGTTGAGCTTCAATCCATATTGACCTTATGCAGCAAGCGCTTCAGTCCTCCTCTGTTTCAGCAAGCAGGTTTGTGTCATTTGCATACTGCAGGTTGTTGATAAATCTTCCCCCCAATCTTGATGCCACATTCCTCCTCATTACAGCTCAGCCTCCTGGATGATCTGTTCTGCATATAGATTGGAAAGGTATAGAGACAGAATACATCCCTGGCAGACACCTTGCCCAATTTTGAACCATGTAGTGTCTCCTTCCTCTGTTCTGATGACTGCCTCTTGGTTTAAGTGTAGGTTTCGCATAAGGACATTCATGTTCTGGGATTCCCATTCTTCTCAGAGTCACCCACAGTTTGTTGTGATCCACACAGTCAAATGCCTTTGCATAGTCAATGAAGCACAGATAGACGCTCTTCGGGCACTGTCTGCTTTCTGCCAGGATGCATTTAACATTAGCTATAATATCCCTAGTACCACGGCCTTTTCTAAACATAGCCTGCACATCTGGCAGTTCTTTGTTGATGTATTGTTCCATTCGTTTTTGGATAATTTTCAGCAGAATCTTGCTTGTATGTGATATTTTTTTTTCAATGATAGATTGTTCGATAATTTCCACACACTATTGGGTCACCTTTCTTTGGAATGGGAACAAATATTGATCTATTCCAGTCATTTGGCCAGGAGGGTGTCCTCCAGATTTCTTGGCACAACTTAGTGAGCACATCCAGGGCAGTGTCTGTTTGTTGAAATATGTCAGTTGGTATACCATCAACTCCTGGAACTTTGATTTTTGCCAGTTCTTTCAGAACAACTTGAACTTCCTTCATCACCACAGGCTCTTACTCATACCTTGTTTCATGAAATTCTTCTGTGTCAGCCAATTCTTTCTGGTACAGTGACTCTGTGTATTCCTTCCATCTTCTTTTAATGCTTCTTGGATAATTTAACATTCTGCCCAAAGCATTTGTAAGCATTGTCACTCGTGGCTTGAACTTGCTTTTCCATTCCTTCAGCTTAAGTAATGCTGAGCAAGTTTGGCCCTTTTAATTTTCTGACTCCAGCTCTTTGCACATTTCGTTATAATACCTTGCTTTGTCTTCCTGAGCTGCCCTTTGAAATTTTCTGTTCATCTCTTTAATTTCTTGATTTCTTCCTTTAGCCTTGGCTTCTCAGTACTCCAATGCAATATTCAGAGTCTCCTCAGACATCCATCTTGGTCTTTTCTTTCTCTTCTGCCTTTGTAATGATCTTTTGCATTTTTCGTGGATGATATTCTTGATAATCTTCACAGTTCATTTGGTCTGCTTATTGGTGTTTAAGACTTCAAGTTCAAATATATGCACCAAGAGCCAAAGAGGAGAAAATAGAAGATTTCTACCAACTTTTGTGGTCAGAAATCGATCGCACACGCAATCAAGATGCACTGATAATAAGTGACTGGAATGCAAAATTTAAGACCAAAGAAGAAGGATCAGTAGATGGAAAACATGGACTTGGTGACAGAAATGAGTCTTGGGATAGAATGATAAAATTCTGCACGTTCAATGACTTATTCATTGCAAATACCGTGTGTGTGTGTGTGTCTCTGTCTGAGTGTCCCGTCAAATCAGATCTGACTGGTACAGGAGGAGATTGTCCCTCCTTTCCCGGCAGAGCATCTGGTGGATTCAAACCGTGTGCCTCTGGGATTGTAGTTGCAGCTCCTTGCCACTAGGCCACCAGAGCTCCCTGCAGATACCTTTTATAACAAACAGAAAAGCAGGCTATACACATAGCTTTCACCTGATGGTATGCATAGGAATCAAATAGATTACATTTGTGGAAAGAATAACTGGAGAAGCTCATTATTAGCTGTGAAAACCAGGCCAGGTGCTGATTGTGGACAACGCCATCAACTACTCATATGCAAGTTCAGCTAAAGTTGAAGAAAATGAAATAAAATCCACAGGAACCAAAATTTTACCCAAGTCTATTGGAACATGACATCAGCAGAAAATTGCCAGAAGTCCAGGCTGGGTTTAGAAGGGGTAGTGGTACTAGGGATATTGTAGTTGATGTTGGATGGATCTTAGCTGAAAGCAGGGAATACCAGAAGAAGGTCTGTGTTTCATTGATTATGCAAAGGCGTTTGACTGTGTGGATCGTAACAAACTGTGGCTGACTCTGAGAAGAATGGGAATCCCAGAACACTTTATTGTTCTAATGCGAAACCTATACTTGGACCAGGAGGCAGTCGTCAGAACAGAGCAAGGGAACACTGCATGGTTCAAAATTGGGAAGGGCGTAC